TCATGTTTGTATTATATCATTCCAGACACAATTACTCACGTATTTACATTGGCTTTTAGTCAGTTGAAAACAAATGGTGTTGATATCAACTCAAACACAAGGAAGTTAATTACAAGCAAAATGCATGTTATTCTCTTCGTTATGATGATTACAATCTTGACTTCATTCCGGTCTCTTGTTTAAAGACCGTCAATACTACTGGGCCAGAAGGGATTATACCACACAGCGAGGTCACTGACAGGTGGCTATCTCATTAACTCAGCTCTCAACTAACATAAGAAAAAGAGGATCATGGGGGACCAACAGGCACCGATTGGGGAAGTTTTTTTATATAGAGGGAGCAAGTAGATACAAGTAGGACAGTGGGGCTTTAAGGTAACCGTTCTCTTTGAGTGATACAAAAATGGATAAAGTTTATTAGGGATGTTGTCTTTTTTTTTAAATGAAAGTCTACTGTCATTCGGATTTCGTGTTTAATGTAACCCTTCTCTTTATTAAAGTGATACAAAAATGTATAAAGTTTATTTGGGATTTTATCTTTTTTTTTAAATGAAAGTCTACTGTAATTGGGAATTCTTGTTTAATGTAACCCTTCTCTTTATTAAAGTGGTGCAAAAATGTATAACGTTTGTTTGGGATGTTATCTTTTTCTAAATGAAAGTCTACTGTCAATTTCGTTGATAGTTATCAACATAATGTTCTTTCTTAACCTTTGAGTTTTCACAGTTTACGAAACTGGTATTCGAGATAAGCATAAAGTTTATTTGGGATATTATCTTTGTTTTAATGAAAGTCTACTGTCAATTTCGTTGATAGTTATCAACAGAATGTTCTTTCTTAACCTTTGAGTTTTCACAGTTTACGAAACTGGTATTCGAGATAAGCATAAAGTTTATTTGGGATATTATCTTTGTTTTAATAAAAGTCTACTGTCAATTTCGTTGATAGTTATCAACAGAATGTTCTTTCTTAACCTTTGAGTTTTCACAGTTTACGAAACTGGTATTCGAGATAAGCACCTTATGTGAAATGGCGCAGCGGATGAGTGAGCAGAGAGAACATATCATTAGACAAGAAGTATGTAGGCTGTCCGACATAATAAAAAGGTTATCCTATGGATCGGAACAAGATTCTGTGAAAGCCTGAATACATTGCATCATTTTAAACAATGAAGCACCAAATACCGAGGCCAAATTTAACTTTTATGAGGATTTAAAGAGCAAAGATGCACACATAAGGCCTGACCTGCATTCCTTCCATCAGCCAAAACTAGGTACAAGGCAATTTTGACAACATGTTTTAAAGACCCTGGTGCTCATTCACCCGTGCCAGAAATATTATGAATAGGGTATCTTTTGACAGAAAATAAGTTAGTCTTTATCATGAATTAAATTTTAAAGTCATATTGGTTATGAATTTTTGATTAGGAGCTACCAAAGTTGTGAACAATTTTTTTTAATACTCACTGTATATAATTATAAAGGCTATGACGAAGACATCGATTTTTTTAATTACTGCTTTATTTATATTGAAAACTCGATATCGTACTATGTACCAGCTGCAAAGTGAGCTTTTGTGAGAACTCGTCTAGTTCCTAGGAATGGAAATATGATTTGATCAGTTTTAATAAAATCTAAATACTTTGAAAAAAGTGTCGGCGTTTAAAAGTAACATAATACCCAATGGCGAAAATATAAGTTACTAGTTCTCTCTCTCTCTATATATATATTTCAACTTCAATTCATTTATGTTTCCAACAAAACATAACAAATCAATTATAGACATTTACAACAGTTTAGGAATATATATTGGAAACAGAGGGGTCCACTAACAAAACAATGCTTGTACAATGGTGGACCCCTCCTTCTCTTTGTTTTTATCTCGCCTATCTATCGATCTCCTTCTTCCCCCCTCTAATTATCTCCCTCCCTTCTTACTCTCTATTTCTCTTTCTATCTCTCTTTGTCTCTCTCCCTCCCCCTCTTTGATACCCCCCCCCCCCCCCGCCTCTTTCTTTGACTTCCTCTCTCTGTGTCTCTCTTGACGAAATTAGCAAAATTTTATAGCGAAACCAAAACACGCAATATCTAAATCCGCATCGATACGGCTCGGTTCATGGTACACAGTATTAAACCTTGGTCACATATACGCCTGTAGAAATCGATATGAAGCCTGGGTGGAGTCCCACACCAATTAGATCAATAAAATAGAATTCATCATAGGAATTAGTTTCACACAACAGTGCTTCTACATAATGTGGTATACCTTAGTCATACCGTTTAACAATGTTAAGTGTATTGTAGTGTGTTGTTCGTTTTATCGTCGGTCTCATGTCCGTCTCCTCTGTGTGACTTGGGTAATTTCGCTTCTGATCAGTTACTTATTTTGTTTGATGATGACTGTTTTACCTGACTGCTAAGAATGAATGTAGATGCTTGTAAGTAATCAGCCAGGAGACTGACTGCTTCAATTCCTCTCCGAGGGGCTTGATAATGAGGATTGATGCCTTACCAAAGGGCACGAGCGCATTGACTTGGTTTCGAACCCGGGACCTCACGGTTACGAGACCATTGCTCTACCACTGAGCCATCGCGCTTTCGCGACAAGACTGCCAACAGACCGAATGCCAGATAGTCTGTCCGTTTGCAGTCGGTGTAGTGTCGGTTTGACGGTTTGACTGAGGCCTCACGCCGACAAGACCGACACCAGACCGGACAGAGATAAATTATCCTGTATGGCCGAGAGTCGGTTGGTGCGCAGTCGGTTTAGAATTGGTTTGACGGTTTGACTGAGGCTGCACTCCTACAAGAACGACAACTGCCATGACCAAGATTCGGTCGGTTTGCAGTCGGTAAAGAGGCAAAACCGACAACTGACATGACAAAACTAACCCCCTCCCCCACCCCCTGTTGGTCAAATAACCGATCGGTATCTACCACAGTGCATAATGACAAGACCAACACCACTGAGACCCAAAACAGACCGAACAGAAATGCAATGACCGAGAGGCAGTCGGCTTGTCGGTGTGACTCGAGTAGAACGCAAAAAGCCATTGAACGTATCATGTGTATTATCGGCTCAAGTATTTAGCATAATGAATACTTTATCTAGTACTCCGTCATTCATCGTTGTATAACAAAGGCAGGTTTTGACGAGAATTTTAATTATTCACTCCCTAGATAATTCAAGATGTTTACATCCCATACGAAAGTACAATGGCCCACATTATTCGTTATCTAGAACAACTGGGGTTAGTTTCCCCAAACCGTCATATAATTTATGTTTAAATTATTGGTCATCTCATAGAAACGAGTGTGAATTTATTTTTTAAGTGGAAATCCCACGAACCATATTTTGCACAAAAAGAACCCCGGAAAAGAACATATCTTGCTCATGTATTTATTATGGTAGCGTCACTCCAGACGTTCAATTAGCCATTATTTCGAAAGTGCAATGAGTACTTATAAAGGTCAGGCCGGATGTCACCTTTCAACAGATTATTTACAAAAACGTAATGCATTAACATGGCTTTTAACCTAATCAATTTACGTCACGATATCAAAGAAAAAAGGCTCAATGTTAGCGTAAATAGCCCATATCCATGCAGAAACCCATTGGTACTAATGACAAAGCTATCCACCATCAGCGTCTATCATGATCATAAACAGTACAACGTAATAGCATCTCCCTGGTAATAGTACCAATTTATATTTTTTTAAAGAACAGATTAATCCCTTCTTCATCATAAACTCGTTTGGGATGCAGTTAAAATGCCGAGGCATTCGCGATACCAATGCCTTAAATGTATGTCAATCATAATTATTATGTAAATGTGTCATTATTTTCTTTGTTTTGCAATTTGCTTTGTAACTCGGAGAAAGGAATACAGTCATGTTTGAAGAAGAAAAAAATCGTCAACATGGCCTATAAAGTATTGCTAACATCAAACCTGCTTAGAATACCAAAGGGCGCGAAAACTCGGGTAAACAACAAATGTATAGTATAACAAAAATGGTCTATGTGATTTATCAAATGTCAACTATGCCTCGCGTGTACCAATCACCATTTTGTTATATGTAAAGGATATTTAATCTTCTTCCCGATCGTTCAATATGCTCTCGGTTCCTATGGCAACCCATTGTTAATTCGCCTTCCAGAGGATGGATAACCCAGTTTATGGCTACGTGAGGGTCACGTGATCTCCTTGGAAACCAAATATTGACGCCGTTACGGCATAGTCTTAATGAATTGAATGTCTAATACCAATGATTTCAACTTTAATACCCAGCGCAAAAAAAACTCATTGGATTCATTTGGATCAGCCCCTGTTTGGATGTAAAAGCTAAAATATACAACACTGGTATTTAATAACATTGCAGTTCTCGAATCAGCCTTTTTGATAGTCCAGTTTGCTAATGTATTTGAATAAGTGGATGATGCTATATTCCCAATAATACCAATCATCAATTATTTCACACGTTATGAAAAATATATAGCATTCCTGTATGAATGAACGTGACTTTGCCTACGTTAGTTGTTGCTATGTCTGGTAAGGCTCTGTCAAACTTGGGTGTCGTGAAGAAGTTGTATTTTTGTTTCAGGAAGTATGCATGAAATAAAGCAGGCTTTGATAGAAATTCTGCTCGAGTTTAGAGTTTAATATATGCACTTATCTCTTTATCTCCCATTTTACTAGTCACGAAAATTAAAATTATACTTGCACCTTCATCGAGTCCCATCTTTAAGTAATAAACCGTTCAAATACGGATGCAACTCAGTAAACATGATTTGCTCAGTTTTGAAGTTTAAAACAAATATCATTTTGAAGTGACTTCAACGACATGTTCAATTCAATTCTACTCAATCCTTCCAATCATTTAACAAAGATACGTATTTGGAGTGTGTCACAAACTTGGTAATGGCATAGTAAATATGAATATTCATGCGCATGCACTCCTTATAAGGGCATGTAATATTATTGTTGTTTTGTTTGTTTATAGGCGCAGATGGACCCGTGACTGTCTTTGCCCCTGGTGACGTCATCAATGTGACATGGCACTTGGCTTACTCTCATAGGGTGAGAACATTATATTAATATTTACACTTTTGTCCATAAAAATTGAATGATTTTTTCTTTCTTCTTTTCATGTAATTATTGTGACAATATGGTTTATTCTTGATATATAGCAATAATAATAATAGTGTAAACTTATAGAGCGCACACACCGCCCAGGGACGTTCATGGCACTAGCTCAGCAACAATTCTCTTTAATACAAGTAAAGTAAACAATTTTACAATATTTATATCTTCGTATCTTTCATATCGTCTCCGAACTATCTTGGTCAATCTAAAGAGTCAGTTTGATCAATAAACTTCTGGGAGATATAAACGTTATCGTGATCACTTCAGGTAAAGAGGTAAAAACAAATACCAACTTTATGGGCAATTACAGTTTAATTATAGTGCCATTAATGCGCAGACATGGTCATGGGTTAGAAATATGAAATGAAAATATTGACAATGGTTCACGCCTCATACACACGCCTCTGGCTAAATCTAATTAGCGCGGACCTGTGATCCTGTGCTGTCGTATATTCGAAAATTCATTTTTTTGTTGTCATTTGCTAACATTTTACATACAACTTTACAGCAGATTAAACGGCCCGTTTTATAATACTTACCATCGATGGTAACTTTGCCATCAATGGCAACTACCATGGTAACAGGGCTCAACAGCCAATTAAAATTAAGGTTTCCATGGTAATTACCGTCGATGGCAAAGTTACCATCAATGGTAAGTTTTGTGCAACGGGGCCAAGATATCATAGCAAATTTAGTTAACATGATATGCTGCTTATAAGAATCGGCTTGCATGGTGATGTAGATATGCTGCGGTTGCACCATGTGAGAGAGAGGGAGGATTGGGGAGTCCTGAAAAGGACTCTCGGAAATCTTTCTTGAATGTGTGTAGTCTTGAAAAAGACTGTTGGTTATCTCTCTTAGCTAATAGTTCTAAGGAGAACGATAGCGCCGGTTGGAGAGGAGGCTAGTCAACCTGTTCGAAACGTCGAGCCACTCCTACCACCCATAACCAACAAGTCTTTTTCAAGACTACACCAACAGCCCTTTTCCGGCGTAAATATTCATGATTGAATGACACAACCCTTTAAGACTAAAACAGCAACAACAACAATTCAGGACTACACACATTCAAGAAAGATTTCCGACAGTCCTTTTCAGAACTCCCCAATCCTCCCTCTCTCTCACATGGTGCAACCGCAAGCCTACTGTATATTATACATAATAGTAGGTATCATTATTATATGCACCATTTTTTCTCTGTATGCCCCCATCCTCTCTCTCTCTCTCTCTCTCTCTCTCTCTCTCTCTTTCTGTCCCTCTCTCTATCTCCATTTTCTCTGTCTCTTTCCATCATCCACATTTCATCAATCGGTACTAGGAGATGTCATTCATTACGATGATATTAAAGGTAAAGACCAGTTATGGTCATGCGATTGCATTGTGAAAGAAACGTTGTGGAATCGATCAGAAAAGGTTGATCATCTAGCATCTAGCATCTGCAAGGTTCTGGAATCATCAAAATGATAAGAAATTTGGCCCATTCTTCGTAAAGTTACAAGCACTATACACAGAAAGATGTGGGACTACCCTATATCTCTCACAGACCATGAGAGAAACAAATTTACCAAATATATGGATTAGTAGGAGGTTTCCCGGCAAATTTGTTATCATCATGTATTAGTCAAAACATATTCTTTCACATGATTGGTAATGAGAGCTTCCATTTCATTTTTTGAAATTGGGGCGTTTCCAATACTGGTCTTTACCTTTAAACGCATGTGAATTAACTCGCACGATGATAATGGGAGGTGGTTCGCGGAAAAAAAAAGCTACATCAATGGCAGTAAGGGCGCCATATTGAATCTGTAAACGCTATTAAATTGAAAGCATTTTCATTAGAGCTTCTGCTCGCCTGCGTGAAGAAAAAAATCACAGAGAATCAAATGAGTTCTAAATATACGGCTTCATCATACTGGGAATGATCACCTTGTACATATTATAATCAAGGTACGCATAGAGTTTTTACATAAAACAGATTTGTGTAGTTGTAATACAGTATTGGACCTGCAGAAAAAAAATCGTATAATATTAGACATCTTGTGCAAGGTTTACTGTAATGGCCTCAGCACGATTAAACAATCAAGTTCAAATAGATAACTAAAATAACAATCAAAATAATGGCAACTAGCTTTAATTCTCATAAAGATTTTAGCTTTTAAGCTTTTCATAAAGATTAATAATATATAGGTTTAAACTAAGAAATATTTTTATGGATATCTTAGATACTGAAAGCTTAGAATGCATGTGAAAGTATAGAGCAAAAAATAATAAGTTGTTTCATTGATGGCTTCGCTGTACATTGTCACACGGTTTGCTGATGATACTATTAAAGGATGGTGTTTATTTTGATAGAATTTTCTAACCGCCTGTTTAAACGGAGGTGACACGTTTTTCTAACCAACCATGCATACCTAATGAGGTTTGTCTGACGTTGTTTCATCAATAATTCTACCCAATTTGCTGAATCATGTAGTTATCGATATCCAATATTCCCAATCATTGTTCCGTGCCGGTTTGTACCAGGTACGCTAAATGCGGGGGGGGGGGCTTTGTTGACGTAGGACTGTGTATAGGCGACTAGCGAGGTCTTTCTGCGCGTCATCGTACCCATACTCAAATTTGAAGCTGAAGCACAATTCCATAAAGTCTTGAGCTGAGCCTTAAATATGTCATTGTCTAGCTGATGAGCCGTTACAGTACAAGGCCTATGAAATGTGGTATCTACGTATTCTCCGAAGCTCAGACCCTCGGTTGTGTATTGCGACTGGCAAGGGTGTGTGTGCTTGCCAACTATATGAGTAAAAACGCTTAATTTACTGGAGAATGAAGTTAATCACCATCAATACTTCATTCCATAACGCGGCATGGGTATTCATATAGATATCATCATTTAGTGGAGTCATTTCAAATGTTTTGGATTCCATTGTCACTACCCGTACAATTGGACTTGTTCTAACATTTATTTTTCAAAAGTTGAACAAAATTCTCTAGAGATGTCAATTCTATTGCTTGATACTCCAAAGCAAGATACTCTACAATGTAAACAAAAGATAATAGTTATTATTTGACATATCCCATGAAAACTCTACAGGAGATTCGAAAGTCGTGGGTTCGATCCCCGACGCAGCACCTAAGTCCTTAAGCAAGGCATGTTATCTACCTTGATTCCCTCCACCCAGGCGTACCCGGTACCCGGTAGGCCGGAGGTTAAAGTCATCAGTGGTCACTGTAGTTTGCTTAACATTGCGAGCGTCTGGAAAATGGCACCTGGCAGGAAACCTCCTCATGGAGTGAAGAATGTACATACATTGTGTGCGGGCAAGCCTGAATCCGATGACGGATGTATTTGATCTGTAAAAAGCTTATTATCATTATTATTATCATTAGAACTAGTAGTAGTTTTAGTAGTAGTAGTAGTAGTAGTAGTAGTAGTAGTAGAAGTAGTAGTAGCAGTAGTAGGATTAGTAGTAGTAAGAGTAGTAGCAGCAGCAGTAGTAGAAGTAGTAGTAGTAGAAGTAGTAGTAGTAGTAGTAGTAGTAGTAGTAGTAGTAGTAGTAGTAGTAGTAGTCGCAGTAGAAGTAATAGTAGCTGTAATAGTAATACATGTTGCAGTAGTAGTAGTAGTAGTAGTATCATCATCATTATATTACTATAATGCTTGTCTCTCTCTCTCTCCATGCACGCCTGTCTGTATGCCCATACTTTGTCAACCAGGCTTTTGTAGTTCCATCATGCGTGGTAATTAATCAACTCGATGATTGATAACGCATGTATTATAAATCAAATTATTCAATGGTATGCTATTCATCCAGAACACCTCAGTTTGTTGATTGTCACTCGTATAAAGCCAATACATGGTACACGCCACTGAATATAAATGTCGTTAAGGTGGCCAATTAAATGCTTTTGAGCAAACATTATAATGTTTCGCCAGTTAATATAATTGTATTCCGTGACGTCGCGTCATCTCTCTCTCTCTCTCTCTCTCTCTCTCTCTCTCTGTTTTATGTTTTAAGTCAATTGGCAATACAGAAACCAAGAACAATTAATAAGTAATATCAAGATGAATCTTTCTTAGTTGAACCTTTAACACATTTATATTCATGCCTTGATCTTTCCCTTCCACTTTCCTTATGTTTCCCCTATTTTATTATATCAGTTTGTTGATTGTGAATATATATATATATATATTGTAATTAAACTCTATATGCAATGTTGTTAAAATGATATAAAGTAATAAAGTGCCTCGTATGAGGAAAAGAGAAAAATCTCTCTCTCTCTCTCTCTCTCTCTCTCTCTCTCTCTATCTCTCTCTCACTCCACTTTTATATATATCTTTTTTCTCCCCATTTCGGTTGCGCAATCTTTTTAATAACATTAATTGCCCCTCTTACTCCCTTTCATTTATTAAACTCCACTGTCCTTTCGTCTCCAATTCGTAAACAAAAGAGAAAATATTTCATTATCCAAAGTGCATGGACTCTCAAATATATTAGATCCAATCCGGTAGATGTGAGTTTAACATCTCCCTGATCCAATTATTAAAATTTCTCATTGTGCACAGGATAAAAATCCTTTACATGCTGCTATAGAGCGATGGCCTTCTTGCTGCCGTTATACTCTTTAAAGGTACTATGTCCCTTTTGCAGCCAACCTCAAATGCTGTAGAACTTTGCAGGAATTATGAATATGTCATGTATGTCCTATCTGTGAAATTTAAACGTTAGCAGTGACCTCATATTCAAATTATGCAAGGAAACCCGTTTACTTGCTAGACTTCACTGTCAGACACTATTGAGTGACTGACTGGCTTTTTTTTCTTCTTTGGTAATAAAACACATGAAAAGAGTTGTAAAGGGTACATGAGCATTTGTCTACATCAATAACCCACTTCTTGTGATGGCCAAGATTAAACTGATTGAATCTTTGCGCAG